TAAAGATTCAATTTGGCTTGCACTTTCTCTAGAAAAGTTTAGACGCAATATTTTCAGTAGAACGGGCAATAATAAATTAAAAATGTAATCGTTTAAACATTTTTCAAAGCAAGGCTTGAACCAGAAACCTCGGCTGGAGTTCGGTTCGTACCGAAATTTTCTTGGGCTTGCAGCCCCGGTTAAATGCTAAAGTGACCTTCCAAACTTTGAAGTCCTATCTATCCCTTAGTTATGGCGATGCCATGCACTATGCTCAGAACCATAAGCGGACATTCATCTTAAAGCCGGACTCGGGCGCTCAGGGGCGTGGCATTTGGCTGACAAACGATCTGAAGACTATTGGACCCAACGAACGTCTCATCTGCCAGACTTACATCCATAGAGTAAGGAATTTGTACTTTAATTTCCACCTATATTCCGCTTGCGACATTCTCTCTTTTTTTCCCAGCCGCTTCTCATAGATGGGTACAAATTTGATTTACGGGTTTATACATTGATAACCTCAGTGGATCCGCTGCGGCTGTATGTTTATAATGAGGGCCTAGCCCGTTTCGCCACCAATAAGTATGTGGAGCCCACTCCGGGCAATGCCAACGATCTTTACATGCATCTCACCAACTATTCGGTGAACAAACGTAATTCCCAGTACGATCTGTGCGACAACGATGACTGCGGCAGCAAACGGAAGCTGAGCGCCATCAACAATTGGATGACCAGGCATAACTATGATGTTAATGAGTTCTGGTCCAATGTGGATGATGTCATCATTAAAACCGTGCTGAGCGCGTGGCCAGTGTTAAAGCATAATTATAATGCCTGCTTTCCGGGTCATGATACGATACAGGCTTGCTTTGAGATACTGGGCTTTGATATACTGGTGGACTGGAAGCTGAAGCCTTATATATTGGAAGTGAATCATTCGCCCAGCTTTCATACCAACGAGCAGGTGGATCGTGAGGTCAAGCGGCCGCTTATCAGAGATACGCTGACTCTGGTCAGCACCGTGTTGGCGGATAAGAAGCAAATCCTGCGCGAGGACCGGAAACGTGTCAAGCAGCGCCTGCTTAAATCCAAGGGTGATACGTGAGTAGTCTATCCGTGAAAAAAAACTCAAGCAACCAGCTTCGCAATTGCAGTGTGCAACGCTCCCGTGTCGTAGCTGGCGCCTCGAAGGTAACGCCTAACAAGGAAGGCAGTCCGACGAACAAGGAGCAGTCACCGGAGCCGGAGATCGGTTCGCTGGCGCAGCAAATTGCCTGGGAGGAAAGCCATATGGGCAATTTTAGACGCATAATGCCACCACCAGATGCCAGCCGCGTCAACTACTATTGCAAGTTCTTCGGCCAGACCAATCAGGTGTCCATTTTTCAGGAGACTGCTGCCAGCAAGAAACGCGAGGATCTGGCGCGCAAGATGCGCCTACAGATCGAGGAGAAGAAAGCCAAACAGGAGCAAATGCTGCTCGCTCGCAGCAAGCGCAAACGTTTGATCCAACCACGTTTGGCGCGCGAGAAGCATCGTCTGAACCTCTTTCGACTCAAGGAGAACTGGTCCCCCGGGTTCGTATCGGAGGCGGAGGAGCGCTTGCGTAATACCTGGCAGCAGATGCGTACAGAGGCCATAAGGAATCTAAAAATCACAGAGAACGTAAGAGTTGTTCTTCTTCATCTATATTTATTTCCTTTCAGAGGATATTCGATCTGTGTCACGAAACGTGTTTAACCATAAGGTATATATGTATATTCCTGATCAGTATTATGGCCAACAGCCAACAGATACAATATATATAATACAGTTGAAGAAACTTTTTATAAGTAAGAGTCGTCCAGATTGGACCACTCCATCATATAGCTGTCATAAAAATAATCTATCCAAAATTTTGTATTTCAAGAATTTTGGAATTTACGAAACTCCTTTTAAGTACATATCTCTATATAAAAAACTGTTTGTCCTGACTGACTGACTGACTGTTGATCAGCGCACAGCCCAAATCGTAAGAGCTGGGAAGCTGACGGGGTTTCGGGAAATTCCACCCGAAAGTGTGGAAAATCGCGAAAAACGTTTGTATCTAACTTTTTTGTTTACCATCCGATTTAGTTTCAAAGATCTTTGTTCAAATTCATTTGAGGGGTGTTTTACACTTTTAGGAAAATCCATTCCTTCTTGGTGGAAACAGAGGTCAAAGATTTGGTGGGTGACGTTTCGCGCTCAAATTCATTTCCAGACATTTATAAGAAAAATCATTTGGACGTGTTTCACACTTTTAGCAGAATTCAAACTTCTTCGGGGGGAATGCGATTCAAAGATTTTTTGGGCGAAGTTTTAAGTTGTGTCCGATTTGCTTCAAACTTATTTTCAAAGCTATACATAAGAACTTAGTAAGCACGTATTTCAGCGATTTGGGAAATTCCACCAGCAACAGTGGTAAATTGGCGGAAAACGTTTGTATCTAATTTTTTTGTTTACGATCCGATCAACCCCAAACTTATTTTCAAAGATCTTTGTTCAAATTCATTTGAGGGGTGTTTCACACTTTTAGGAAAATCTATTCCTCCTTGGGGGAAATGGAGGTCATAGATTTGAAATCATTTGAGACGTGTTTCACATTTTTCACAAAATCTAAACTCCTTCGGTGGTAAATGCATTTCAAAGATTTTTTGGGTAATTTTAAGTTTTGTCCGATTTGCATACAAATTGCTTGATTCCCGTCCGATCAGTTTCAAAATCATTTTCAAAGCTTTTTGAAAACATTGATTTTATAACATACGTGCCACGGGCAAGGCCGGGTTATACCCGCTAGTACATACATATACATTTATAACACGCGGACTATGATTCAATTTTGTATAAATGTTTAAGTTTAAAGAAAACATAACGAAAAACCTTTTATATACTTAAATCAATTGAGTTAATTGTTCCTAAATGTGTTACAGATATAGCATAAAGCAGTCCGATGCGGATAAAATTATGAACTTATATTAATGGGAGCTAAGCTCTTTGTTTTGTTATACAAAACTCATTTCATAGCCGATTGTATCATTATTATATATATATACTAGCGGGTATTGCCCGGCCTTGCACGTGGAACTTTTTGTGATACAAATTTTAGATATTACCTTTCCACTGAGTACACGTCCGTGGAAAATGGAAAAATGAGAATCTTAAAGCTGAAGAATAAACGTTCGTTAATTAAACCATTGACCCGCATTTGCCGCCCAAGAACGAATCAAATAAAAATATAAAAGAGTTTGAAAATCGTTGACCTCCATTTCCACCAAGGAGGAATGGATATTCCTAAAAGTGTGAAACACCCCTCAAATGAATTTGAAGAAAGATCTTTGAAAATAAGTTTGAGGCCGATCGGATGGTAACTACAGTAAAAATTTCAGCTTCCTAGCTCTTTCGGTTTGGGCTGTGCGTTGATCACCAATCAGTCAGTCAGTCAGTCAGGACGAACAGTTTTATATATAGAGATTATATAATCCAACCTAATCGGTATAATATAATCGATCTATTATCCCTCTACCATCTTACATACTCAGAAAGAAAAAATCTGTGGAAAAAAAAAACAATTTTATTTTAAGAGCTATGTTAACTGAGCAGTTAGAACTTTCTTTTAAACATAAGCAAATTATCATCAACATGGAACCATCATGTCATATAGCTCACAGCGGTAAAAATCTGATGAAAATAACCCTAGGAAATACCTTTGACATTAGATTATAATCTGCGGCTCTCTGAACATAGCTCTTATAACTTTAACTTTAATAATTAAATCACATTCCTCCTTTTATCTTCCATAGATCTATGCACTTCTGTTCGAGCATGGCCATTTGAGCAACACAGATATCACGACCTTCCCAAACTTGTATCACTATCTGCAATGTGGCTATGATATAAAAGGCGCCACATGAGCTCGGGCCGAGGTGAGGGTTGGTTGAATTGTTAGGATGAAAGCGATCACAGGTGATAGTATATATCGGATGGAAAACAAAAGAAAATGAAAAATACAGAGAAGATGGAAATGTGATCGATCCCAATATCGTAGGTGCAGAAGCTGGCTCGGGTCTGAAACATTAAACAGTTGTCCAACAAAGTATTTATGTATGTATGTATATGTATATATATGTATTTGTATATGTATATGTATGTATACGTACGTAAAGTATTTGGTTATGAATTTGTTATATTTTATAAATTTTAATTAACTGCATCGAGACAAGAGCCAAACAGCGAGAAATATATGTGTATGCAGTAATTAGTATGAATCTTAAGATATACGTTGGCTTTAACGAAAACAAATTATAATTAAAAATTTAAAATTTTTACTCATTATTTACGTGGCATTATGTGTGAATTCTACTTGCGATCCGTATAAGTCCCAATACTCTGATCAAGTGCTATTCCAGCTCTACAATCTGAAAAATCCTTCCTCAAATAACTTCGTTGTTCGTCGAGCATTTAAAACGAAGTTTTTAGGGCTAAAAAATGGGATTAAAGCATCTGTAAAAATATAAATTTAGGACAATATCTTTAAAAAAAAATGTAAGAAGCGAGGAAGTTAGTCGAAAGTTGAAAAATTCTGGAATAACCTTTGCTATACGAGAATCGACATGCTAAATTTGGTTCCTCCTGCTGCAAATCGATATTTATCGATTTTGGGAAGATGAGAAAATGTCTTAAACGAAAATAAAACTTTGCATAGCAATAGGCATCATACATTACAAATTTAAAGCGCTTTACTTGAAGATCGGCAGAGTTGAACAGATATTAACAAAATATCTTAGGGTATAAAATGCCGCCTATCGGTCTATCGCCTATCGGTTATCCATATATATCTTGATTATCCATAGCTAACATAACTTTACAAAGAACACGTTTTTTAAATTTAAAAAATATATTTGTGTAATAAATTGAACGAATATGATTTATTCAGAAATTACTCCCCGGGACCCAAGTAATGATATTTAGTTTGAAGCGAATTAATTTAAATCAAATAAGTAAAATTCAAATTAGTAATAAATAAATTTTAAATATACTGCGCATGAAATAAATAAATTGTGTATCGCGTTTCTATATAGTCAGCTATATACTTGGGTTCTTTCGCTTGGCAACATGCCATCACATCCATTCAACAAACAAACAAAGAAACATCATAAACATTTGCATTTTGGCGCGTGTTTCTATTGCTGCTTCAACCACATATATCCGCGAGTAAATGGAAAATATTGAGTATTTCTCAAGAGCATTTTCGAGTGTGTATTGAAAAATACGAGAGAGAGAGACAGAGAGAAAGGGAGAGCAGAGCAGCAGAGCCTCAGTCTGGTCAAGGAACAGGCACGGCGTAGACATCGCCACGTCACATACCGCTCGTAAATCCAAAATAGTTTTTCAAACGCACAAAAATTTACAGAAATTATTTAAAAATCCATTTAGACGATTAGTCCAGGTCGCCAACTTGTAAATCGTTTCGGGTCTTTGGCGGCATGTTTAAAGTGTCGCAGGAGATTCGTCTAAATATGAGCGCCGCGGGCGCCTTGGGGCAGGGGCTGGGCGATGCCAGCGACGGCAACAGCCCGGAGAGCGTTTGTATTTTTGGGCGATACCAGCGCACGCCCGATGCTGGTGAGTGTTGCATATGCGGAAGTAAACCTCATCTGATGCGTCTATTTATAAATCCTTCACAGATGCGTATCCCACAGAGCCGCCGCGGGTCTACATAGCGCCCGAGCTGACCGATGCGAGTAAGGTGCAGCTGCTGCATTTGCCCAGCGGCGCGGTGCGCATCAATTCCACGGTGAGCTTCATCATCAAGCGTAATGGGGTGAAGGGCAATTTTGATGTGCGTCTCGAGAGTCCCAGTGGGCAGCATGGAGCGCCATTGCAGCTGACCCAATTGGATCCGGAACGCTTTCAGGTGCAATGTCAGCTGCCGCAGGCGGGTCTCTATAAGGTGCACATCAAATGCAATTCCGTGCCGCTGCCCAAGTCGCCCTACATTATAGTCACCATAGCAGGCGTGCCTCCAACTGAGGATGGCGCTGAACCTGCCACATGCAGCCCGTCAAGTGAATAGCTAATGAAAGTCTTGTATTATCCAAGTTTTTTAAGCATTTCACTTATGTTTAGCAGTGCCCATTTTCGAGTCGGACGCCAGCAAGGTGCATAGTCGTGGACTGGGCCTAACCCATGTCAATCTTCTCGAGCGGAACGAGTTCACTGTGGATGGCAGCGCTGCTGGCAGCAATATGCTGTTTGTGGGCATACTGGGACCCCAAGGACCTTGCGATGAGGTGCTGGTTAAGCACTTGGGTCGCCATGTTTACCGTGTCATGTACCAAGTTCGAGAGCCTGGCGACTACATTCTGGTGGCCAAGTGGGGTGAGCAACACATTCCAGGATCTCCTTTTAGCCTCATCGCCGAGTAGCTGTGCCTCAACAGAAAGTCGATTTGGAGCCCAGAACTCTATATTTGGTAATATTCCTAATGGAATCTTAAGTCAAAGCAATTTCTTAAAAAAAATGCGGGTAATAGAAACGAGTAGCCCCATGTTTTTTTTCAAAATTCTTTTGGTTCACAAAACTTGGTATATTTTCTAAACAAAAATTTTTTTATATATCAAGATCAAAACGGCGCTTAGTATATATTAAAAGAAGGAGAACTGGCAGAATTGTAGGACTTTAGAGTCAGTCTTATTAAAAGTTTTGTAGAAGATATATTTTTTCCCTAATTAAATGATAAATAATAAAAAAAAAGAAACTGTTATTCATTTTAATTGATATGGTTTTGTTTAAAAAAACAAATAATTTTATGTGCCAATTTTCGAACCTTACTCCGGGTTTATTGAATCCAATAAACAGGTTCACGAACGAGGAATTGGTTTGAATCTTAAACCGAATCCCTGGCTGCTTTTTTTTTTGCTTGGCAGCCGTGCAGTATGCCAATTGCTCAAGTACTAGTTGCCTGTTGCGGGAGGCGTAGTCTAGAGCAAAGTTCATTCTATGTGCAATCTAATGATGATTACCAACACTGATGACGACGACAACAACAAACGAAACAGCAACATTATCATTTTTTGTTATTTAGCCGACGCTAATGATGTTCGCATTTAGGTTATGTGCTAGGGTGCAGCGGGGAGGAGGTATTGCTCCAACCTAATGATGATGACCACCGTACGCCGCATGAGAATGTGTGTGTGTGCGCAACAACAAAAGCAGTTGCGCATCATTGTGTTGGTGCTGGTAAGGGAGGGAACACAAAAGGTTACCACAGTCGCAGTTGATGATGATGATAATGCGTTTACGTTGCTTGCTTTAACGAGCTGCTGCTGCTGCCGACTGGCGCGCTTAAGATAAATTACATGGTCATGCTCATGACTGAAATCAAGCTAGAGCGCATCGCTAAAACCATTACTCATTTAAGCTTGCAGTGGGCGTGGCTACGCCATATGTTTGATAAAAGCATACAAGTCTGATTGGCATATTGTTTCAGATTTAAACAGAAACTTGGCGCATTTTAGCATGTCCACAAATAATATTTTAAATTTGGTGCACAATTTATAACCAGGTTGGCAACGCCGAGAACACGAAACACACTAGCTGCACCTCTCACACCATGTTGCGCGCGCTGTTGCTGTCTCGCTTGTACAACATCATTATGGCCGTGCCGTGTTCTGCCATCATTAGTGTTGGTAAATATCTCGAGCTGAGCTGCTAACTACGTTTTTCGTGTGTGTGCTTAAACATAATTAAAATTTAATTATTTAACTTATTATTAAGTTTTGCGTTCGCTTGTGTTGGGCTTGTTATTGTAACTGTGCTCGCGCGCCCGCTATTGCTCATGCTCGCCTCATGAGCATCGAAATCGCGTTTGCCACAATCGAAGGAAAAGTATGTACCTGTGCATGTGTGTATGTGTGTGTGTATCTTCATTCCTCGCAAAGGGAAAAAATATTGTAGTACGCGTGTGTGTATTCAAGAAAACTTACCATCTCTTGTCCCCACGGCCAACAACAAAATGTAGTTGCTGTTGTTTTTTTTTACTGCTGGCCCCATCAACTGTGGACCAGCAAGTGCCAATGTAGCGGCGACGTCGACGCCAGTTTAGCTGTCGACGTCGTCGTCGTTCTTGTTGTTGTTGTAGCATCTTCATTTGCCCTGGCCGCAGCTTTTGTATACTTGAAATACCGCTTCAGTACAACTTGAGTCGTCGTCGCGTTAGTTTCTTCGTGTTTGTTGTCTCGTGCCCGCTGCGCGTGCAATTTACACCTTGCATTTTGTCTTTTGTTTACCAGCATTCAACATAGCATGTGAGTGTGTGTGAGCCAGCATGTTTATGTACCGGTGAATTTACAGCTTAATGATAATCTAAAACTGTTAATTATGAGCATGTTTACCGTGAGCATATGTGTGTGTGCAAATTTAGAGCGCAGCCAGATTTTTTGTGCTCTAATGTGCAAAATTTCCAAATGCAAATATGTATATAAAAACATCGATGTTTAAATCCTAGTTATCACTGGATCGTAAAAGTATTTGAATCATTATTAATCAAACAGGTGCTACGAGTTATTCTCTTTAATTCAAATGAATCCATCGGTTAGCCTCATGGTTACATTAACATGTAAAGTACCTGAAACCTTTCTTTATAATTTATGTGGAAAGGCGAGTAGAGGGGGTGCTTGGACTCCGTCAGGTGTGCGCGCTTAAAGTAAACATATGTTACCATAAGAAAGTGCGCAATTGCTTTAAATTGACAGTTTGTCTATTAAAAGTTAAATGACAATAATACCCTATACCTAAAATATCCTCGCGTTGTGATTTCAACAGTGAAACAAATTCTGGAAAACCAATTACTTAATGCATGAAAAATGTATGGATATTGATTGATATTTTTAATTAACTGAAAATATTTCCTTAAAGTGCTTCCTTCTGTGTAAAGCCAAAACTAAATAGAGACTTGAGTGTTTTGCTGTGATATACCCCACCTATCTTTCCTTTAATATATGGTTTATAGCCTAACTGTACTAACCGGTATTCACCATATCGGATAATTATTAGTTGTGAACATAAATATATATTGCAACTAGATCACATCCCCCAAACATCATAGCCCATAATATCTTAAGATTGCCATGGGCGATTTTGGTTTTCTTTTCAATATTGTAGGGATTGCAGGAAGGTTAATGAAGTTATATGTGTCTGAAGCTTAATATAGTTATATTTCTCTTGGTTTCCCGAATCATTATGTTTCTATCTGTATTAAATATGAACCTTATGTAGATCTACTTAAGATGCATTCTCATATCCCATACATATTCACGGTCTGCAAACAATGTGTATAATTATAAATCGATCTTAATATTTTAGGTGCGGCTCTGAGGTGCAATTATGTTTCCATATTAATTAGCGCGCTCCATGTCTAGCTCCAATTGTCAGCCGAATTTTGTTGGGCAACTGTTTGTGGCGAGTGAGACCCATGTGAAATGCCTGTAAGTATGCAATGCGAATTAATTCATATTCAATATTTCTAATCCTGATATTCCCCTGCCCCATGGACAGTATGAAAAATTCAACAAAAAGCGCCGACAATGGGAGGATAGTGGAGTATTAGAGCTAATTAAACTATGGAAAGTTTGCGCCTATGAATTGCGCACAATCAAACGAAATGGACACCTTTATGTGGCTATGGCAAAGCAAGTAAGTTTACATATATTTAAGATACCTTCAAAGGAAAATCATAATATTCTAAATCGAATCAATTATCATTTATTTGATTTTCTATGGTAATGCCCCTATCTACTATTAGATCATGTTAAAAAGTTCCTTTGATAATCTCTAATCTCTCTCGTTTTTTTTTTAGTTGACGGGTCTTGGCGTACCCGTTACCGCGCTGGAAGTACACTTTAAGGTGAATAATCTTACACAGCGTTATAGACAAGAGCAGAAGACATTCGAGACAACGGGCATCATTAGCACGTGGAAATTCTACAGCCAAGTGGATGATGTGTTTAAGAGTTTGGCTGCTCACACGGGTTACAAGTGAGTACCGCAAAATACAACAGCCAAAATATGCCAGCCTAATTCGAATTTATACACAGAGATAAACGCATGACGAGCACCTCGAATGCCAGCAGCTTACCATCTACATCCGAGTCACCAGTTTGGAAAAATCCAATGTCTCAGCAAGAGTTCAACAGCAACAACACGGAGGGGTTCTACAAGTACAAATTATAATTATAGTGTACACACATGTTTACCAAGATTAATCGGCTATCCTTGCAGAACGGAGTACGGCATGCATCGCCACTTTATGGACCACTCCCAGCCGCCACCCAATGCCGGCAATGTGGACAATTTTATGGCCTCGTCGGCGGCGGTGGCAGCTGTTGCGGCCGCTGCTTCGGCACGCCTCGCCGACAGCAACATGGAGCAACAAATGCAGAATGCGGCTGGCGCCAGTGGTGCCGGTCCCGGCGGTAATACCAATGGCGGTGTGCCCAACTACAATAAAATCAAAAAATCCCACGAAGACTATGACAAATTTGTGGACATTGTCAAAAACATTGTTGACACACACAAAAGCACGCCCGACAAGGTGGACGCGTTCGCTGATTTTATTAAATCCTATATGAGACGCTGGCCGGAGCGGCTGCAGGACGAGGCCATCAATCACATGACAAACTATGTGGTCGTCAAGAATATGGAGCACAGCATGGGCAGTGTACCCGGCGGTAGTCTGCACAATCCCGATGGCGTCAATAATCGGCAATAACAATACAAGCAGGAGCCCAACAACTAAACGCAGGCCGCTTAGGAATGGAGCGCAGCCGGCGGGAGTTGTTGGACGGCCGCCGTGGCGGTCGTAGTTGGCAGCTCCACGAAACCAAGACCAGGGCGGGGGCGACGCAATCAAAACGGCGGCCAGAATTTACTTAAACAAATATGGCGCGCAGTTACTTAAAACAAAATAAAACAGGAATTATATATCTGCAAACTGAGAGATCGGTCAGTTTTGCTTAGATCATATTGTAAACGATTTCATGCAGTATTTTTTGTATAGTTAAAATATATACAATAAAGTTTTTAGTTTTATGTCAGAGTATTTCGGTACGTTTCGAATTGAGTTCGATATGGTGAAATACGCAGACACCCACACATGATTTGTAGAGTATAGAGAGTACAATACGATTATATGTAATACGTTTAGAAATCATTTCCTACTGTTAGCTGTAAACGACAAAAACCTAAATGAATAAACGCTTTAAAAAACAAGACACAAAATAGGCACAGTACGATATATATTTGAAGATCTTTGCCACATAAAGGCATTAAATGTAATTTTCTATTAGTTGTAATCGTAGTCCAAATTTACGTTTTTTTCGGAAAACCCTTATTCAAAAATGAAATTGCCGATTTTTTCTGTACAAGCCATATGATACAGTACTTCAATGTTATGATTTTACTGTGTGCTATATGACAAAGCGATTCGATCCGCTTAACTTCGACAAACATACTAGGACGTACTAAATTTCATCTTACAATCTGGGGCACTTTGTGTATCATCCTGATCTTGTATATATAACATACATATACTTAAAGAGATCGTAGATGTTTCATAACAATAATACCATCTTTATAATGAATCAGAATTGGTTAGTTTATTAACTTAAATACGTTGAACTTGACAGACGACACTATTGAACATGTTGGGCTTTGATGTGGCCGTGGGCGCTGTGGGCGTGACCAGAAAACGGGCAAAGGTGCCGCCTTTATTGTCCGACAAGCGACCCGGATTGATGACCAGACAATCGTTGACCAGGCGTATAAAGTGCCGCTGATCGCTGGGCAGGATGAGCACATTGGGCAGCTGCTTAAGCTGTGCATATTTCTGGGCCAGCTGCGAGTCGTAAGACATGTTCTCATCCGCCGGCGGGCACATCGGATAAAAGGAGCCCTGATTGAATAGATGATTGATGGCGCGATGCATGCGCTCGCCCGCATTTGCCGCAAATTCATGGCTCAGCAGATGGTCCAGCACATCCGTTGAACTGACGCCCAGCGTGACTCCATCCAGATCAACCAGCGAGGGATCCGGCAGCATATGCAGATTTGGATATGTTTTCCGCAGCGTTAGTGATGGCGTGGGATAAACCGCTGGGGCCATTGCATCCCTTTGACAACTGACCAGCAGTACTGTGGTGCTGCTGCCCACCACGTCCATAATGCCAGCAATCATCTTTTCGAAGAAGGAATCAAAGGTCTCGGCCAGATCTCCGACAAGCTTGTGCTCGGCGTCCACAAAAGGACCCGTCAGCAGCAGCACGTTGGGCCTGTGCTCCTTAAGGTATTTGAGCAGTTCGTGTAGTGGATCATAGAACAGATCCGTATTGTGGGTGTACGGTCCAGCTGCGACCACAAACTGCACATCGCGATCAACTTTCAGTGGCGGCGGCGGCGTCAGCTTGCGATCTGTGTAAATCTCCTCCACCACGAAGGTATCTCCACGCGGTATGAAACCTTTAGCCAGCACAACCTGACCCGGAAATATGCTGGCCGACTTGATCTGCGAGAAGTTTAAGGCCAGGCACTTATCATCTGTATTTAGCACGGCCAGCAGCGCGGAATGAGCATCCAGTGGGCCATCATCATCGGAATGTATCATGCCCACGGCATGCAGTACGTGCAGTGCGTCCAGCGTGTGTCTATCCTGTGGATACCAGCTGCACTCGGCGGCACCCTTAGCGCCCAGCTTCTTGTCTACAAGAGCCTGGCCAATATCTACTAAGCGATCATGCAAGTCATCACATCTGTCGTAGAGCAGGTCGTTCATGTACCTAAGATTGGCGACTGTCAAAGGTGCGTTATTGTGGAGCAACATCTGGGTTACGGGCAAGGGTTGCTCCATTTGGGATTGCCATGTGCAGCCAGCTAACAGCTTGGGATGACCAAATGTGTCGACTATGTCACCGGGCTTTCCAGTTGAGGTTGTTGTGCTCGCAGCCGGAGTCCTCTTTGCCGACTGTGGCGTGTAGCTGGCGGGACTGAAGACCATGCCACTCTTCATTATTGAAGTTCGAGCACGTTCATTACGGGCTTTCGGCGTGACCGGCTGTGTGGACATAGAGTCGCCTACATAATCATCCATCATAGGATCATCTTCTATCAGGCCGTAGGTGGCCAGAGAACTGCTTTCCAATGCAGACGGTTGGGATTTGGTGTGATGTGTTAACTTTGTTGTACCAACTTTTTCACGCTTCACTTGGAGCACCTTGCGCTCGAATTCGCCAAGATTGGCAGGCGTCGGATCATCACCGTGCAGATGCGACAAACTGAAAGCCATCCATTGCTCCACAAATTCGGTGGCATCGTGAATGCTGTATGTGAGAGCCAGTTCTATGCATTTCTCCAAAACGGCATCACTGGGCTCCACGCCCATCTCATCAAATTGCTGTTTGAGTTCAGCGTCCATTTTGTTAGCCCCTGTATAAGTTATAAACTATTATTTTTTCAGTTGCGTTTAGTAAACAACTTTTCGCTTAAAGATTTTTGGCGGGAAACCGATAACTTGCTTCTTCTACCCATTGCAATTGCCATTCACAGCCACTTATCGATAAGAAACGGTGAAATACTAGGTGGCATCACTAAACTCTGTGGAATTTAGTGCGCTTTTCAACACATCTAAATAGTCAATGCAACAGAACAGACCTTTTCTCGGGCGTAAAACTAAATTAGCAATTATTAAATTTGTAGTAATATATTTAAAATCGAAATGTGTGCAATATGTTAATTAAGCTGATTGTTGCGCTAACGCAGCACCAGGAGATGATTCACAACAGTAACTAAGAGCCGCAGAAGCAACAACAACCCGAACCAGTAGCTCTGCAGCAACAACACAAAAACAACACAAAAAACATAATTTGGTCAATTTGCATATTCATAAAATAAACGAAACGGAAAGTGCGTTAGGTAATTCACGCACAGCATACACAAAATGAGCAAACTGGAAACGGACTCGGACAGCTCTGAGGAATTTTTCGATGCCGAAGACACAACACCCAATCGCGCCTCAACGCTTTGGTAGGTGGTGCCGAGCAGCCCCCGACCCCCCCACCTAATACAGTGACTCACCCTTATGACACGCATATTATTTTCTTTTGCAGTCGTAAATTGCCGCCGGAATGCGCACAGGAATTCATCTTTCCGGAGCCAGCGGTGCATGTAAATGCGGCAGCCTCCTCGGACAGCGATGCAACACCCATTGGCGCCAACACGCCAGCCACCCGCAGTCCCACAAACAGTCTAGGCGCGCGCCTTAAGCAACAGGATGCGGCTGCTGCCGCTGCAGCTGCAGCCGCGGGCATTTTCGTGGAGCCAAAGCCATTGAAGGGCGTGGTAAGAAGGCGTGGCTCTGTGTGTGTGTGCGCGTGTCTGCGTGTGTGTGCGTTCAATTTTTAGCTTTGATTTGATTGCATGCCTTAAAATACAAATGTTATGTTGTGTTTTTCAGTTACCATACGAATTCCTCTCAAGAGTTGCCCCCATTGCATTGCCAGCAATCCCAAATTCTTAGCACGTTTCGCGTTTTCCCTGTGTTGCTCGGATTGCCCACTGTGCGCAAAAATAAAAAAGCAATGCAAATTTCAATGCGCCGATTTCACTGCGATTCCCCAAAAACACAAAAAAAAAACAAAAATACAATCCAAGCAAAACAGCAAATTAATTTGCCTTTCCGTCTGCTAGCTCCCCGCCTGTTACCCATATGGTCTGCCTGGTCATATGGTTTTCTCTATTACTCGACGAGCACCGCATTTGGCCTTATTTGTTTTTATAATTCATGTATGCGCCCCTCTGAAGCGCGTCGCTTTGTTTAAGGTTTGCTGCAGATTGTCATCAGCGGTCGGTCAGGTATATATACATAGATAAAGCGAGGGCTGCTCGAAGAGTTTGCCATTTCTAAAATATATTATGATTTGACATACTTTATGATATGCACCTGTGTTCCTTATGTTCTGAGTACAAAATGAGCATAATTAAGCAATACTGTGTGGATAGTTCAGTGCCAGTATCTATGCTACTTAGGGAGTTGTTCGGATGTTCCAAATCATCCATTTCCCACTCATGCAAGTGGATTTTCAGAAAATATCCGCTGTCAACTCTAATGCTTTGGGCCATTCATCAATCAGTTAGCACAAATAGTTTTATACATATATACATAGCTATTCTTGTAGCATACCTCGTTTATATATACATAAACATAAACATTTATTAAGGCATTTTGTTGATTTCACAAATATTTTCATTTCAACTTGTTGACTTTCTGCTTTGTCTACGAATTTGTATTATTGCCCGCCTGACAACATGTAAATGAATTTAATTTATGCCCTGACAATCGTAAAGTACTTATATAATTATTATAATTAAATAGCTTGCATTACTCATTTTATTGAATAATTTTTATTATTGCCAAGCGCCGTTAAACGCCATAATTATCAAAGGTTTGCCGTCGCCATCACAATAATTGCTGATAATAACTGTTGCTTTGGCCTTTTATCAGGTTTACTATTTGTTTATTAAATTTATATTATATATATTTTTTTCTCTGATAATTGACTTGACCCATTAAATATCTGTAACGCGCGGCAGCACGCTTTCATTCATATTTCATTGAATTGTCAGGGCTAGAGGATAAAGGGGCAGAGTACTATCTGTTATTTGACATCGTCGAGTGCTCTGCAAATGTTGATAATAAATACACATAATTTGTGGCCCATTTGTAGCCGCGACTAGCCTAAAGATGCTTCTTCCCTAGCTGAACTCGCTCAAAAATAAAACATATTTTTTTATTTACATATTTGTTAATTTCTTGTAAACATATTTGCTCTTTAATTTCATATTTTATGCGCATTTCGTATATAAACAACATAAATAAAATACAATAAACATTTATATATATACATATATATAAATTAATTGTTAAACACCCATGGAATATATGAACACGAACTTGAACTCAAAAATGTATACATTTATTATGTATATATAAATAAAAATCAATTAAATATATGTATATCGTGCCGTATAGTCTGGTAGACAACGCTTTCA